CAGATAGTTCCGTATTAGATTTATTATATATACGTTAAGTATTTAATGAGAAAATTGTGTTATTTTGTCGGGTTATGAGTGAAATTGGATCAGAAATTTGGATGATGTCTGAAATGATTGAAACTTACGAGTTATTGTCTCTACGCAAGAAGCCAATCTCTACATCTAAATGTATAGCTGCGCACGAGTTGCACCAACAACGGCAACAGCCAGTTCCTTACAAGATGATAATGGTTGGAAAGCAGCATAGAAAAATACTTGGTATGGTTAGAATGGTAATTACTGAGTCTATTTAAATTGCTGCCCGTTGACGAACAATTGTTCATACAAATAACAAACATATTCATTCCTGTTTTGGCTCCTCATCAACCTTCATGTGCTAAAATGTGCAAATTTACATAAAAACTATACCGGTCATGTTGTTATGTCAATGGCATTACTGGAGGTAAAAATAAATGCGGAAATCTAGACGACTCAGTTAACAGAGGTTGGCAACAACTTTTTATGAACTTGAACAATCAGAATATTATCAGTTCGTTGCTCATCATTTCGTGAATTTCTCAACTTACTACAATCTATACAGATTCATTTCCCTTTATCACTGGAAATGTTTTACCATTTTCATTGTGCGAAATTCTGTTGAAGACTTTCTACGCGTAAACTTAACCACACGCCAAATTATATCTCACTCTGTCATGAGATATCAACGGAGTGAAGATCAAACTGTTAGCTGTTTTGTTTGATGTAATTCTAGTAAACATAAAACGCACTGACGACTACCACGCAAACAATCACCTCATACATTTAAGTTAATATAAAGAAATTTTGATCCTTGACACATTTCGCATTTTTCTGAATTCACCACTTTTAATCATATAAAATCAGTTAACTGAATGTTGAAATAACGACTTCATTATACTCACGAAAAAAATCAGTAAAATTTGAATCCTTTGGTACTAATTAATGAACGTTTTATAAATTCAAGTGAACATCAATTAATTTCGATTCTTCACTTACTTCAATTTTTCATGAATTTACCATTTTTTATCAAATAACTCGACATGGTTCAAAGTGAAACATTTCCCCTCGTGTTGAAAAGTTTCAAATGAATGTTGGAACGACTACTGGTTTATTCTCACCAATACGAATAATTAAATTTCAACTGAAGACTTTGATACCAACTATTGAACGCTTTACAACGAATCAAAAAAAAACTAAGAATCAAAGTATGAATAATTAGTTGAGCATCTTTTTTCTGCTGAATACTTTAACGTCTGGTGTGAGATGGCTTTTCTCTATCAGGTAACCAGTTCAATATACATCATATTTCGTAACTATCGTTTGCTTTTCATTATTCAGAATGTGAGATTTTATGACTTCTAGTTTCATGACTCTACAGTTTATGAGGTTTATTACTTGATATCAATAGTAAACAGTCATCCAAATATAGGAGAATTCTATCAGAATCTTTCTCTTCGTGTTTTTTATTGACATCCTGAAACATACTTGAACATGCATTTGGAGTCAAAATGTTTCACGCCCTGCAACGCCACTTGCATTGTCCACATCAACAGACTTGAATAACCTTCCATCGCTAATTAATATTCTGAATATGTAACATACTAGAGTAGCGTTTACTGAAGGGATCATCGCAATAAATTAAAATCTCTGCTGTAGACATTTGCATAGTATTTCTTGTTTAACATAGACTGTGACATCTGTATTTCGTAGGATATGAAATTCGCAAATAAGAATCATATCTCACATATATAGGCGATCTTTATGCATCAAAATTTCACGTTAAAAGTCAACAAAACGACCTGTTGTGTTTGTTACAGATTGATGTTTCGCAAGTTTGTGACCATCGCACTTACAACGTCATGACAAATTTCTCAGTTTGGTTTTTGAAAAAATCATCAGTGAATACTACCAGGATTCAGACAAATTCTATGAATGTTTTATTTTTCAGGTTGCTGAAAATCCTGGTATGTATTGGCGCGGTTATGCAGTCGTCGGTTGCCTGTAAGTCTAGCTTTCCGAAATCTTTCGTGAAAGCACTATAAGTAGTGTATGACTGTAAATGCATTTATGTTCAGTAATGATTATAATCTACAGAGAACAAGTCAGTTCAGTTGTCGAAGGCTAGAGCTATGGACTAAGTCAAAATACTGACCTAAATGATACACTGAATTCTCGTCAGTATTCTTTTTAGTTATATATGACATTGTCCAGGTTCACAATTCATCAAACCTCATTAGGCACACAAATAAATGCACCGATTGATGCGTTGACTTAAATTATGAAAATGAATTATACCTGATATGAATGTGGTTGAAGTGGTTATGTTCTTTACGCCTAGTGCTCATATCGCAGTTCATCTCAACGCCATCTTCAACCTAAAATTTCTAGGTGAAATAAGAGTTTGCTATTCTGCATGCCGGCGTTCTGAGTACAAAAATATTGTATTCTCATTGTGCCATCAAGGAAATAAAAAGAAAAACAACGGTAGGAAGAAAATCACGGAAAATGATGTTCAGGAGAAATATAAAAGACTCAGTTTCTTAAATGTATGGGATGTGAAAACATGAATAGTTTAGATAGGAAATTATTCATCGGATACTTAAGGAAATGGAACAAATCAGACTTCCTTCCTCGAAAAACCAGACATTGTCCCTTAATTATATTCCCCTCATCTCAAACAACGTATTGGACTTTTATTCTGATGACCATAAGATTACTCATGGAATTTAGTGAGTTAGTGTCTGCTACGAGTAGTTCCACAAGAACTCCACAAATGTCGAAACTTCTTCTCCCATTAACCTTAAAAGAATTCGATGAATAAGAAGTAAATCGAGTAACGAATAACTGAAATGAAGATATGGACACACAACCAATTGATAATATGCTTTCTGCACGTGATAACAACATCACGGAATCGACTGATTTTACATTATTAACTCTGTTGCAGATTCCGGAATTCATTGGAGCTGTTTTCTATTTGTATTTTAGAGTATTGATTGTTCTGCTTTGCTTGTTGTTATTCTACAAATTCAGAAATAATTTGCAAGTTGCTTTGATGCTGATAGGAATAATAGTAAGTTTCTGAGAACATTAAAATTATGAATTGATTTCATTTACTCATGATCATCATTTCGTATGTGATGTGTTATTCACTCGAAAATAGAATAAATAGTTTTGACGAAACAATAGAAGACATAGGTTATCTAAATCGTTTAATATTTTTGAAGAAAAATTGAACTAATTTGGGTCAGAATGTTCAGTGGCTTATATCACAGACAAGGCGTGGATAAGTAAGGAAGGAATAAAGGACGGTTGGAAAGATTGTAAAATGAACCTATGTTCTAAAACTGGATTACGAAGACAGGTAAAGATTAACAGGAAATGACCTTTTAACACATAAAACAGGTTTAAGCCTTTTCACTGTTGAGGTTTCATTGAAACTAGGTATATCATTACATCTATTTAACAGTTAGGTATGAAAAGATCAAAACGGACAAAATTATGACCTGCCTCTGTGAGACGCTGACCGAAAGATGACATTGGAAATATATTTCCAGTACCAGGTGAGTTTATTTCTTCTTCCAGCCGTTTCGAAATATGTTCTTTTCTGACCATTAGAGAAAGATGAGTCCCCCCAAAATACATGTGACTGTGAATGCATGTGTAAGGATGAATAAAGTGAGATGCCACTGGAAAACAGAAATTTCGTCACTCACTCAAAACGAAAACCAAAACAACAAGCATAAAAATTTTTACCTCTCATAAAGGTGAACACGAGGCTTTAAGATGTGTAAGTCCATTATGACTGTGGTCATTCAGTGACAGCCAGAGAGAATTAGAGCAAAATAGCCTCACTTTGTATTATACCACTGATTTGAAAAATATTAAAATATTTGTATTCACTTTTTGAAAAGGTTTGTTTATTTTGTCCACAGATTGTACTATGGTCTACCAATATCTTGTTTATATGTTGCGACTTTAAACAAGGCAACTGGTATATTCTCTTGGTCTTCATAATTCTGGAAGACTTGTTAACAATCATCTTCTGTATCTTTATCAAAAGATTGAAACTAGTAGTGATGATAATCACAATGATCTTGTCGGCAGTGTATGTGATAACCGGCGTAGTCCTGCTTCTCGCAGGGAAGCGTAGAGTAAGTGAATTGAAATATCAAATGAATAGTTGCATCATAATATTTATTCCTGCAGTTACAAGAATTGATTTATTATGACTTTTATTTATTATTATTACTTTTATTTACATTTAATCTGAACCACTTGCTAATCTCTGTATTCTTGAGGTCAGCCATGCACACACTAACAGGAAAGAATAATGCGAAGAAGACTGATTGTCCAGTACTTCATTAATCGTACAATATTCACATATCTGTGAAACGGTATCCCACTTATTTGATATGCTAATCTCCAATGATGTGAAATAGATCTACTGCTTAGTGGAAAGAAATATGGAGGTGAAATTTTAATGGAAAGGATCATTGCACTACGCGCTTTCTTACTCACCGCATAGTTGAAATTGTATGGAGAGTGAATTCTTGTAAATATACATTTCGTAGTTGCGGTCGATTTGAACATTTAATTTTATCACTCATTCACTGAGATTTATTGATTTCATTTAATCTTCTTTAACTCCTGATGAAAATTTGGAATACAATTCACTTGGAAAAATTTCAGTACCTTTTGACTGCATTTGCCGGTGGCCTTTGGAACACTGCTCTAGCTCTGGTAAGTTCACACATTTTTTTCCATCTTTTATGAAAACGAATTCTTTAATGTCTGATTTGAGCGGAAAACTCATCTGAATACATAAAGAGTATATAAGAGAACAGAAATTTATGTTGACGAGGCTTCATAATGTAGGTAAATGTATTTTATCCATTCAGAGAATCAATAAACTGACATCAATGTAATTGAAACTCTGTATATTCGTGTTATCATATTTTGAATTTCGTTTCTTTCAGGTTGCTCTGGTTTTCGCCAGCTGCCTCAAATAACTCTGAAATCACATGGTTCATTTGCATCGTCTCGCGCAATTTTCGGTGTAATACACGCTTTGGTACAACAGCATTCATTCAATTTTGTATAAACGAATGACAGTTCACATTTCCAATTTTTTAAATAAATTGTTGATTGTGCATTAGAACTTGCACTTTTATTTGTGTAAAACAGTTTCTGCAGAATGTATTGGCTAGTGTTTTTCATGAGCTTTGTGATTTCCTCTTTGAAAGAAACTGAGCCCTTTTTTGATTTTTTCCTTCTGACCAGGAAACGGTAGCAAAAATATTTGGTTCAGCCTGAAATGCAGAGATGTCAATTTCATGTAAAAATCTTATCACATTTAGGTGTCATTGATAAAGTTATTCAAATTATTCTCAAATACAACTAAGAGAGGAATTTTCGAACTAAATAAGTACACTTGGAAATATGAAGCGAAACTGGATATCATAAATGGATACGGTTATAAGTCTACGAAGGAAACTAATAAGTGATCAATTACTGCTCACTGTGTCAGGTTGTACAGCAGTGTGGTCTTGATTGAGAGCAATCACTTCATTTCCGATAATGTCCAATGAAAGTGTGGTCATACGTGTAGCCTTCCTCAGATGTGCATCAGTCATCCTTTTTCTTTTCTTGTAGACAGCAGTGATAATTAGTCACTTATATTTGCAGCTGACACAAATTCATGAAATTGTTGACTTTAGGCCTCGTCATTATACTTGATCTGTTATGACAACCACACACACAACTGATGCATTCGAGTCAGAAACATCTGCAGAAGTTTCAAAAAAACATGATAGTTCATTTCAATCTACATATTGTGGTTGTCGCGATCAGTGTCTTTGGCTTCATTCAAGACCATTCCGTCACAATTTCAGCTTATGAAAATACATTTCTCACTGTGTTTTCTCTCTCGAAAGAGAAGCTTGAGCATAATTTAAAGCGACAAGAAAATCACTGACACAAAGAAAAGCCTAAAAATAGACCTTAATACATCTGTGTGAAAATGCAGCTGACAATGAACCACTTCTACCGAAAACCACTTCAATTACCAAGTGAAATGTGAACACGTAAACTAGGAATAATGATCGATCAGTCACATAGATGCAGAGTACATTCACAATAATCAACACGGAATTAAATTATGATCAGACGTTCACACTGCACTGATAGATGTAGCATCTCACTGATTCACGCTGTGCAGACTATCAGAGAGAGACATGAATGTGTGAATTCAAAACACTGATGTCAATACATCAGTCGAAAATCAGGCAGTCTAAATTATAGTTAAGCGAATGTTTATCAATTTGCTGAATAAATATGATTGACATTGAAAGCATGAAATAACATTAAACATACGCCTTTTCATGAAGATATCACTACTCATCTCAATAATCAACAACTCTTTAGTGAATTTCAATTAGGTTTTCTGCAAAGCGGATTTCTGAATCACAAGGACTTTACAATTCAAGCATGGTTAAGTTGGTTAACATATCACTCCGCCTGTTTTGATTAGAATTGTTCAAACAACAATAACTTCAATAATTCTATTATCCATTGTTGAATTATTCTGACTGAATGATGAAATGTACATGGGACATTCCAAGAAAGAGGTGAATATTTCATGTTCACTGTAGCAATTCAGACTGATACGTTCCATTGTTGATAATATCGTGTATACACTGTGTTTGAAAAGAGTTTGGAGATTATCACATACTCCATCTACGCGTTCACACTTTCGACGAAGTCGAAATTGAATAAAATTATCTTCGCTGAATTGTCTTTCATTTTCTTCATGACTCAATGGGTATTAATCGTCATTTTCTATTCAGGTTCTGCGCAAGAGATAGCCTGGCTCATGATGCCATTTGACGGTCTCATCAGAGTTTTTCTAATCCATGTCCATAACCTTCGGCATATCTGTTAAGCAATAGGTTGTTGGTTGGTCCGTTCATAACTACATAAGATACAGGATGCGACCATGTAAGGCTAGATTAAAATCAACTTCCATACAATAAAATTCTATTTTGTAATTGTTTTCACTTTCAACGATTCTCTGCTAACACTGAATAGCGTAAATGCTTCTTTTGAGACGTGATTACACGCCACCAGCAACAACAATTCACAGCCGTCTCCATATGTAATCTACCCATGACGTGTATTTAAGCATCACTGATATAAGAATAAAACTTGTGCCCTGTGGTAGAGTATAATTCCATTATGGGTAAAATTTATCTTGATAAAGTTTCACAGTGTTATACAGTAATGTTTACTGATGACGTTTCAAGCACAATTTATTGCTCATAATCATATCAAGGTACTCACACAACTTTCTAACTTCGTTTATATATTTCCATTATTTTCCATCGCTTGATTTGATTGGTAGTAGTATTTTCCATATTCTCGGTATGAGTGATGAGTCATTCCTATTGCATGTGTTGGGTGTAGACTCGATGAACAAGGATTCAGTAATCAACCTCTGTCTCTCCATCTACCTAGATTACTTCTTAGAATTTTAACCCTCTCCCACACTATTGTGTGATTGTGTGTTAATGCATGTAGTGCAATTGCTGAGTTTTTTTCTAAATTACTTATCTTCTCGGGGTCGACCATTCTTACCTCAGCTAAATTCTTGTGTTCCGACAATCTGACTACCCCTGACGTACTAGTTTGACCTATGTAGTTGACCTCACATTCATTGCAGGGTATTTTGAAAATTATATTATTTGTCTAATTGGGTCAACAGGATCCTTTAACCCACAGAGCTTGTCCTGGCTGAGTGAGTTTGTAGGTTTAAATGGCACTCTAATTCCTGCTTTATTCAGAATCCTACGTAGGGTCTCAGATGTCCCCTCCTTATATGGTATAACAGTAGATGCCTTGTATTCACTCTTATTTATGTTATCATTACTAGTTTTACAATTATTTTTATTTTGCTTTTGGCCTTTACTGTCTTCCTAATGAATTTTATAGGATAGCTATTTGACACCAACGCTTTTTCTATCTGTTTTAGTTCATCATTTAGGTCTTTTTTGTACTACTTAGTGCTAATGCTTGGTTTTTTAGACACTTAACTACGCCTGCCTTAACAGTTAACGGATGAGATGAATTAAAGTCTGAATATCTATTAGAGTGAGTTGGTTGTTTATAAATACTAGTGTGTAGTTTACCTTCTTCTATTCGTTTGATTTTACAACCTAACATCACAGCTAATTCTCCTTGTTCATTTTCCGATTCAAATATGAATTTCATTTCCTTCACTAGTGAGTTTATGTGTGTCAAGAAGCTAGAGATATGTTCTGTTTTTAACACTGTGAAAGTGTCATCCACATATCTCCACCATATTTTTGGAGAAGGATTAAATGTATTTAGAGCACTATTTTCCCAGCTGTCCATAAATATGTCTGCTACGATAGATGATATTGGTGATTCCATTGCTAAACCTTCTGTTTGTGTACACGGTGTACACAGTGCAGGAATAAAAGTGGCATTTAAACCCACAAACTCAGTTATAAACATGCTTTGTTGGTTAAAGGGTCTTATGAAACCTTTAAGACAAAACAATTTAGTTTATCTAATAGCCTGCAATGAATGTCAGGTGAAATAAGTAGGTCAAAGTAATAGAAGAGGTGCAGTCAGACTAGCGGAGAACAAAAACCTAGTAAAGTCTAGATAATTTGAGCCAAATAAGACACGAAATCCAGAGAACAGTTCAGCTATAGTACTCACTACATGAAATTGCACACAACCATACAATAAGAGGGGATAAGATGACAGTTTCAAAATCTAATGAAACCTGGTGGAGAGAGAGATTGACAATAGAAGCTTGGTTTATCGAAACAAATGCAAACAATAGTAATGGGAATGATTGAACACCTGTTTAACCAGATATCCGGAAAATTTTACTACATCTACGTCAAATAGGAGAGAACAAAACAACTACAAAACTCAAGTTTCGAAGTCGTGTGATTACAATTGATATGACTGTGAAAATAAGTTTTGTTCGAAACTTCGTCATCCAGTAAATGATACTGTTTCACTGTGTGATATATCTAATAAACTAACTACTAAGGAATTACACACTACCACAATATTCAAGTTTTACACATATATTAACTTCACAATTGAATTTTGAGTGTTCAGTTTACTACGTCACCGCTGTTGTTCTGGCAGTAAAATAATCCGGTTGTTCAGGATAGGCGTGATGCTGGACCTGAGCTTTTTCCAACAGTCCTTGTTTTTTTAGGGTTGACGATTGTAGATTTCACTAGTTTCTTATTTCTTCATGTATCAAATTGATGCAGCCCTACTGATTTTAACTCACTGTCATTTCAGAGTATCAGATGAATTAAATCATTTTGCTCAATGGGCTCCACAGAATATTTCAGTTGACCTATTTTATTTCTGAGTGAGTTTGTGTATTTGAATGGCAATTTTATTCCTGTCGTGTTAAGAGCTGAACGTCAGATTTCAGAGGTCCTCTCTTTGTATAGTAGCAGTGCTGAATTTCTACATCCCTTATTATTATTATTGTCATCCTTCTGCAAATGATTGTAATTCATTTTGACTTTAAAATTACTGTTGACTTAATCCTCACAGTGATACAATCCAATATTGGGATCTCTGCTTCATATAAAATTTGAGTTTGTAAGCTGTGCACTGACAACAGTAAATTAAGTTCGAAAACGTCATCCAGTAGAAAACATGGTTTCACTCTGTGAAATATGCAACAAACAAATTAATAAGCCAACGGTGTTTTAATTTGTACAGAGTTAGGTTGCAAGCCTCTCTCACTCGGCCTTCACATTCCCTCTTGTCAGATATCTGCTAGTTGTAGTTTAATTAAGCGTTTGACAGGAACAGTATGTAGAAAGTTTTTGTATGTTCTGTGAGCTTTTTTTCATTTTACCACCAGTACATGATTATATTTGGTGTTTTGATACAATACATTTTTGACTTCACTGTCACTACTAGTAAAAAAACAACTGCTAACATCAGTCCTGTAATATAATTTTTAAATTTACTTTTCCTGTTGCTGAGTAAGTTAGATGCACTATAGTACCAAATACTGAAAATCCTTCAATGTATCATAAGTATTTCTTTGG